TTCTTTTGGTTCTGGTTCTGGCGCTGAAGCTAATCTCGGAACAATCTTTGGATGGATTTTTGATTTCAAAATTCTTTGGCTAGCAATTTGGGTAACAATTTGTTGTAGAGCTAAAAGCAATGCACTTCGAAGAATGAATCTATCAGCAAATCGGTTATTTCTACACACAATTTGTATAACTATTTCAGTGGAGATGAATTAAGAAGGGAAAATTGATATTTTACAAAGAATGTTTCAAACAGATTTCCATTTCCACTGAATAATAATTCCAATACAAAATATTTTCGCCAGAAAACCAAAGAATACTTTACTTTTGGTCGGTTACTTTTGGTCCATTACTTTTGGTTGAATTTTTCGAAATTCTAGAGAATTTATGCTTTGTATAACATTTTTCAAGCCTCTACCTCTCCACACTTTCTTTGAATTTAAATTTTAAATTAATTTCACAATTTCCTCACCATCAGCGAACAAATTTCTGAATTTTAAATTTAATTTTCTGGAATATTTAAAGCTGTAAGTAAATTGAAAACTTTATTGATTTAATGCCAAATATATCTGTTGGTGTGGCCCGCCCAAATAATTTTATTCAATTTCAGCTGATTAAGCCGCAGCTGGAGGCCACTTTTCAAGGGCTTAAACGGATGTAAAATTGCCACTCTTATCCGGTATTTCACACCGACTTTCCTTTGGGTTTTCCCAGAGACATTACTCTGTGTGCAAGTAATGAAGTGCTTTAAATATTAAAACCAATTTACGCGACAACATACCAAACGCATGTTATGATGCGTGTTGCCACCAGTTGGTGGCACATTTTGTTGGACCCGCAAAAAAAATAAGGGCAGGAAGCAGCTGACATATTTCCAGGGGACGTGTGTGGGTCTCTGGCCAGCAGCAGGCTGCTGTGTCCTTCGTGTCCTGTGTTCTGGTAAACTTTTGCAATTAATCAAGATAGACCAGAGACCCAGAGAGTGGTTCCATGCTCCTCCTGCTACTGCTGCTGCTGCTGGCAGAGCGAAATGAACATCGCAATTTACATGGTACCGAACATATGGCCCCAGACTCCCGTCCCTGAACACCAGGCACCTCAGCTCTCTTCTCGCATCCACCTGGGGCCAGGCAGGGCCAGGCCAGGCCAGGGGGCGGTTGTGTGGAGGCGACAAAGATTAATAATAATAACTGCGACTAGCGCCCAGCGGTTGGTCAGCAAGTGGCATAATCATGATTTATGACATGCAATTAATAAGCGAAATGGTCAGCAGTCGGCTCGTCTGTCGTCTGGCTGCCGCCCACAACAAAAGCAAAGAGCTTTGAGCCTCCAATTGAAAGGCTGTTGACAATGTGGTTGGGCTTTCGGGGGCACTACTCTCCCATTGAACTCCAGGAGCTCACACCTGAAAGCCGCACTTTCAACGCATGACAATTGCAATTATTTTAAGCACGCACTTTGCTGGTGATTTTTGCGGTTTTGCTCCATCAAAATGTCCAAAAAAAAAGAGAGACAGAGAGAGAGAGAGAGAAGAAGAGGGAGGGAGAGAAAGAGACACTATGCTACACAGGGAAGTTTATTTTGAAGAGAGAAATTTAGAAAGAAAACGGAACTGTACAAAGAAAGAGGGAAATATATAAAGAAAAGGGAATATATTTCTATACCCTTCCCCACGTTTTTGTCAATGCACATGCCAATGCTTCTTGGTATTTTTATTATTTTCGTAATATTGTTAAAAAAATCCCTCGCAAATCCAATCCACAGACAGCTCTCTCAAACCCCCATTTCCTCTCCTCTCACATCAGCTGCACCATGAAATCCACACAGACACAGACACAAAAACGAATCCGAAAACTCATGTAAATTGGCTTATCGCCAGCCATGTTGTCCAGTGCAATTAACCGCAATGTCCGTTCTAGTAATTAAAAAGTTATTTTTTGGGTTTTCACGCCTCCACAAACACCGTTCGCATGCGTGTTGCTTCCCCGTGTCTGCGCATAGGTGTGACTGAATGTGTTCGGGGGTACGGGGGTAAGCGCACAATAAACATAAAAGGCCACAAAATTGCATTCGTTAATTGCCAAGCGGCACAAAAGTGAATTCCACGGGACAATAGAGTGGCGGGTGGGTCCTGTTAAGCTGCTGTTTTCTACCAAGGGTTTTTGACTTGCGGTATATTTTGCAATGGACACAGTCCGGAGAGGATAGGATTTTCATTTACAATTAAATAAAATTTCCAATCCATTTCTATTGCTTAAATGTGTTCCATGTGTTCCATGTATTTATTCTCTGACAAACCTTCGGTGAAAAACGCAACGTGCCACAGCAGCAGCCATACCGACTTTAGTTGTGCGTAAAGCTAATTAAAATAAATGTCATTTTGGGGCCCACGACTGTCAATAGTCAAATGGCCAACAATTTGGCCTGGCCAGTGCGTTGATTTTGCACTTCATTTGCTAAACAAAAGAGGGGCTGGGCTGGGCAGGGCTGTGCGAAAAGAGGGAGATTTTCCATGAAAATTGCCCAGGAAAAAGCTCTGTAGCTGTAGCTGTTGCTGTTGCTGGCAGTGTGGCTGAAATAATTACTTTGTAATGTAAATTGTTAAATGGTTTAAATGTGGAATTGTTGTGTGTGTGCATGAGACAGCGACAGTTCAGGGAAGGGGCCTTGAAATGCAATTACTTTAGATCCCTGTGTAATTGTTTGCAATTGCATTATGACTGCTGCATACTTTTTGGCAGCACTGTATGTGTGTTTGCAACTGTTTGCTTTTTTCGGTAGAAATGCCAGAGAAGTTTTCTCTAAATAAACTGGCCACTGGATTGTTGCCTTTAGGCCATGAAATTGTTTGTTTAAATTCTGTCAACTCTCTCTCTCCTTATTTCTGTGAATATTTCTCTGTAGAGAATTTCTCAAGTTAGTAATTTTCCAAGTGATTTAGTTATTAATGTTTATGCTAATTTTTGTTTCACTTTAATTGCTAATTGGCATCATTTTGGGCATCAGCTATGCAGGCAGACATTTCCACAATTTCCATAACTAATTGGCTGAAATCTACATCACAAATACGCTTAAGAAATTTCCAGCTAGACGATGGACAGTGCGTGGCGAAAGTATTAGGCAGGGAGTGTAGAATTGTGTAGTTAATGTAACTAAAATAAAGTCTAGGGGACTGCTTAATATATATTTCCTGTGATTTCCTTAGTCTTTCCTTCATTCTAATTGAAAGACTCCTGAAGTTCCTTAAGGCTTCGTAACGCACTGTTTACTACTTGAATGTAGGCATTCAATTTATTTCAGAAAACGAGTATTTTCTCTGTTTTGAATTCAGAGAAGCAGATAGAGAGAGGGGAGAAAAGTTAGTCGGGGCACAGCACAGAAGCAGCAGAACAGGCAGTCACATAAACTCAATTTTAGCATTTCATGTGTCCCCCAGGAGTGCCCCACAAAAAGGACTCCACACATGCATATGTACGTTTGGTACATAAATTTAAATTAGACCCCCCCACCCAGCAAAGGACTCGGAATGAGCGATAAGCCTACAATTAGAACTAGTTCCCATTTGTCATTAGAAATATTGTTGCATGGCCTGAGAACATGGGGACACAAAGGACCCAAGAGGGGTAAACAAAAAAGGTGTTATTTCAACAGCAGAGCGACAGAGCGAGAGAGATAGAGTCAGCATTTCTGGTAGGGGCCCCCACATCCGATTTAATCACATTTTAAGGTGTGACGACACACGTCGAAACGTGGATGGATCCATGCGGAAGAACTTGATGATTATCTCGTACATTTTGAGGATTTTCGTGACTTGATTAGCTCGCTCTGCTACCTCTCTCTATCCACACTTTGTGGCTGGCTCAAAATGTTGATTAAAATTTCAATTTTAACTTTGGCCAAAGATTAGTTTACGTAGCGAAGGAAAATGACTTTGTAGTTTACTAAAATTAATTGGCTTTGAGCAGAATTTTAGGTTGGTGGGAAAATTTATAGAAATTGATGGGCACTGAACGTGTTGGCACTCCTCCCACCTCCCACCAATTTAACTTTCTGGATCATTAACTGATTTGATGGCTTTTTGGCCCTGTGGAGCCAGCGGAGACACAGCTTTTGGCCAGCCAGAGATAAGCTTAAGCGGTGTGTGGTGGTGGTGTGGTGTGGTGACTGCCCTTCGTCCGGGGGTCATCGATGATGATGAATAATGTACGGCAATAAAAATTATCGGATTCGAAAGTGTGTGTGTTTTATGCTGATGAAAGTAGAGGAGGCATGGAAGCAGGTCAGGTCTCTCAGGTTGCTGAGGTTGTAAAATGTATTTAAGGTATACCAAAAACTATCAGTATTAGCGGTATGAAGTATCACAATAACATTTATATAATCATGCCAAAAGCTGAACTTACGCTTTTACTTCAAGCCATTGATTAGCCAGAATAAAGTTAAACATACCTGAAAAAGAGAATTTATGAATTAATTAAGAAAATCAATTTGAAATTCATATTAAATAAAATGATGGAAAATAAAATAATTATAAGCCTGCTGCTGACAATAATTGAAAAGTTAGAACGGGAACCCCACTCACCTGACTCAATCGATCCTGGCTATCGATGATATCGATAAACAATCGCATCCGATCATCGAGTATTTGAAATCCGTTCCTTGGCTGCAGCAGCAGATTCTGCACCGCATCCCTGATGCTGCCCGGCGTTGTGCTGCACGAACTGCTGTCGTCGCTGGTGAAACCATTTTGATATTGCTGCTCCCGCTCCCGCAGCTGCTGGTGTTGGTGTTGCTGTTGCAACGTTGCGTGCTGCTGCTGCTGATGTGTCTGTTGCAACTTCAACTGCAACGAATGCTGTCGCAGGGCCTCGGAACATTTGCGCAAATAATCGTAGGAACCTTTCGATTTGTACTTGTCGGCCATGGCCTGAAAACTGTCCAATATCTCATTGAAGTCCGTCAGCAGGGGCGCCGTGGAGGGTGTCGTTGTGGCACTCGATGCCGTCGTCACCGAACCCAGTGAACTATTCGACTTGGACATTACCATTTGCTGGAGCTGCTGCTTGGGCGAGCTGCCGTACAGTGGGGAGCTGGTTATGACCCGCAGCTCAGAGGTCAAGGAGCTGCCGCCATTGGCAGCCAATGTCTTGAGGCTGCCACTGCTGGCCGAGCTGGCAACCACTTTGCTGGGACTCAATGCCTGCAGATCCTCGCTCATTAGTCGCAGATTGTCGGAGATCTGATGGAAGCTCTCTGACGTCACCAGCGAATGTTCTCTCTGGTCCAATTTGGCATTGGTGCCGCCTGGCAGTATGCTGCTCTTTGGCCTCCTTCGGGTGGGCAAACCATTCGTTTGTCCCGCTGGAAGTCCCGCTGCTCCTGGCACGATCACTGGGCGTGCCCGATGTCACATCTGGCATCTGCAATGGCTTCGATATAAACGAATCCAAGGTCTGGGAGTTGCTCATCTTCGGTTTGTCCACATTTTCAGGTATTTTATTGGCGCGTATTGCATCCAGAAATTGTCGCAATTGATCCGAAGGCGTGGGCGTGGGTGTGGGTGTCGATGTGGCTTCCTCTGCTTTGATTGGAGCATTCTGATTCTGGGGATTCTCTGCGGCAACATTCCGTTTCAGTGTGGACGTGGGCTTGAGCACATCATCGGGCATATGCTGCTGATACTCCTGCCGCATGCTGCTGCGAATATTGTCCAGGAACAGCCTCAATTGATTCGATGGCGTTTGGGCCTCGTTCGCCTGCGTCGTGGAGAGTGAGGCCAGGGATTTGCTCACAATCTCGGGGGATATCATATTCGGTTGAAAGTTGTTGTTCAGATTACTGTTCGTGCCCGCCCCAGCAACACCCCCAGCCCCGCTATTGCTGCTGATGCTGGCGCAGGATGTGGGTGTCAGTAGGTTGAGATTCGTTTGGCTCTGCTTGGCCAACTGCTGCTGTCGCTTCAGTTCCGAGAGCAGTTTCGCCTGCTCCGAGTACTTGCGCACGCTCTCGGTGATGGTTCGCAGCTGCTCCGAGTACGCCCTCAACTGGTGCTCGAGGTATGCCTGATCGGGCGCTGGAGCGGCATAGCTTAGGGGTCTCGACTGCTCCATCTTCGAGTTGCTCTCTGGCTCCTGGAAACTTATCGAATGACGCATCATATTCACCTGCCCCGCAGCGGGACTCATGGGCGTGCTGGACAACATGTTGTCCGTGCTGCTGCTCTTCTTGGGACTCTTTTGGCGGCTCAAGGTTCCATTGTTGTTGGTATTGCCATTGGGAAAGCGCCGCAGGGGTATGGGCGGCGCCTCTGGCTGTACTCCTCCCCCCACACCATTGAAACGATCCAAGCTCCTGGGTCTCTGTGTTCCATTGCCGTTCAGTGTTCCGTTCATGGTCCCCTGCTGCTGCTGTTGCTGCTGCTGCTGCAGTGGCGGTCTGGGCGTGCTCTGCGATCTACGCGGCACCACAGGCGCCACTCCAGCAGCTCCTTGGCCCTGCGTACCCGTCTTCCGATGCAGTGGCACTGGTGGCGCCGCCGGCAGTCCATTTGTGGGACTCTGTCTGTACTGCTGAAAGATGGCTGCGTATAGGGATTCCTTGTCCACGCCGTTGGATGCCACTGTGGCCGTGGCCGCTGTCACAGCATTCCTTAGTTGCTGCTGCTGTCGCGACAGTTGCAGCAAACGCTGCTGCTGCTGTGCATTGTAGTCCACGAAACCCGAGGAGGACGAGCTGCAGGAGGATTGGTTGCCACCGTTTCCCACGGCTATGCTGTGGGGTCGCTGCTTCAGTCCGCGTAGTCTCGAAGGCTCCGCATATTCGGGCATTTCATAGTTGCTGGTCACAGAGGTTGCAGGTGCTGCTGCTGCAGCACCCAATGCTGCTCCCGGCGGCGCCTTCTCTGTGGGCGAAGGACTGTTCAAAAAGGGATTGTTACCCTTTAGGGCAATGGGCTGTGCCGCTCCTGGCAGTCCCGTGCAGGGCAGCATGCTCGTCAACTGTGGCGGTGGCCCTGGCGAGTTCTGTAGCAATTGTTGCTGCTGCTGTTGCTGTTGTTGCTGCTGTTGCTGCTGCTGTGTGCTTCCTGGATACAGTAGTGACTCGCTAATGTGCAAATCCAATTCATGGGCATTCGGTTTCGCGTAGATTGTTGTCGATCGCATGGGGGGCGTGGCAGCCGCTGGATAACCCGTGATACGGAAACCATTCATGTTGCTGCTCATCGATTGAGGATGATGTTGCTGTTGTTTTTGTTGCTGCTGCTGCTGCTACTGCTGCTGTGTGGCACTTGTTGTCATGGCCCGCACTTTTCCTTTGCTGCCGCCATCAATCCATCCATCAATCAATCACTCACTGGGACTTTCTTTTGTATTCTTTTTTTGTATTCAATTTAATTGCACTTCGAGGTGCAATTATTGAAGATTTACTGAGGGAGCAAAACACACAAGAATAATGCTCGAGAGTTGTTTTCATTTGCAAACCAATTTCCCGGTAAATGTAAATGAAAACAAGCCTCGCTGTGCTGTGTACCCCATGGCGTATGCATAATATGGTAAAATTTTTGCGGCAAGTGTACACCGAAATGCAACAAAACAACAACAACAACAGAAATTGGCTAACAGTCAATAGTCCCTAGTCCCTAGTCCCTAGTCCCTGGTCTACTCAAATTGTTAGCCAGCAAATAATTCCCTGGAATTATGCTAATGGCCTTAACAGAAGAGCTGCTCCCTGCTCCCCAAAGGCAAACAAAATATATTTTACATGGAAATAATCACCCAACAATTTATACAAATAGAAATCCAATCGAATGACAAAGGAAAATCCATGAAAATCCCTTGCACAAATTAACATTAACTGCAAAATAAATCAAAGGAAGTGAAAACGCCAAGAAAGGACCTCGAGAAATACCTGAAGGAGCTGCAGAACTTGAGAAATGTTTTCTTCTGCCAACAATTTGCTCTGCGGAAAATGTCCAACCGAAAACTTTCAAATTTGTGTGTGTGTGTGTGTGTTCCATGTGGTTTTCCTTTGACACAAAACTATTCATGAGAATGTGTTTGTCGCCCGAAACAAAAGGCAGGGAAAACATTTGCACGCTTTAGAGCATAAATACCCCATAAAGGGAAATGAGAGACCATCAGTATGGGGGTGGACATGTCAGGAGGGGGGAATGGTATCATATGTGCTGCTGCGGCTGTCAGTGCTTAGGGCTCGACACAAACATAAATATTTAATAAAAAATGCGCATAAATTATACAAAACAAATTCGAGCTAAAAATAAGAAAAAAACAAAGTAAATGAAACAGCGCAAAAGAGACAGAGAGAGAGTGATAGAGAGTGGCAGCAAGAGGGAGAGCAAATGAAAAAGGATGGCTGATAAATACATGCCATGTGGGAAATAAGCGCGAACATGTAACAAAATGTACATGTGAATATGGAGTTGGAAAAGTGTGAAGGAAAGTTAGAAGAGGGGCGGAGAAAAAGGAGTATTAGAGGCAGGAAAATGCGGAGCATCAGAGACAGGGAACAGGGAACAGGGTAGCATCAGAGGCAGGAAAAAGGGGCGCATCAGAGTGAGTAAGAAAGGGAAGAAAGGGAAGTGAGAACAAGTTAAGGAAAGAGAGATGAATGTGGAGAGTTAACATGCGCCGAGTATGTAGATTAATTTACACGACTACAAAGATGGACAGGCAAAAGTCAAAAACAGATTTACACTTGGAGAAATTTAGAAGGGGAATCCAAGTGGAAATTATTTTAAATTTGGTTCTACTCCCATTTCCAATTCCATTAAATTCAAATTAACATTTTCTAGTGACAAATAAATGTCCTTAAAATATGTAAAGCATTTCATAGATCAATTGTTGGTTATGCAATAACCAATAAGCAAAACCAGAAACATATCCATGTCAATAAATTTGTCGCAGAGAGACAGAGAGAGAGAGAGAGAGAGAGTTAGAGAGAGAGACAAACTGAAATCATGGCATCATGCTACCTGCATTTGCTGCACAAACATTTCAATCAATTAAGTTGCAATTGTAATTTGACAATTATCCCATTACGCAATTGTCATGGATCGCCTATGCCTTAGTGCCGAAATCCACCCACAAGAGATGCGAGAAATGACTATGGGCAGGGCACGGGGGGGTTGAAATTGTGCACTCTGCATTTGCATAAGTAACTAATTTTTTTCTTCGACTGTGCAGCGATGCAGGAGGGTCGTCTTTGTGGGTCTCACTGGGTGATGCACTTTGTCAACTCATCATGCTCAGCTGTCTGCTACGTGCCTCAGCTGTCTGAACTGTGGGGCAGGCAGGCAGGCAGTCAGGCAGGCATGCCCCAATGTATCCTCCTGCATCGTCTGATGTGGTTTATGAGAGACAGGGGAACGACACATTGCTTCCTCGAGTGTGTGTCACTGTGTTAGAGAGATTCAGAGGATCCTGTGGAAAGTAACTTGTATCAACACTTTAGCACATGCACAAGAGACCCACTTTCCCCTCCCTGTGCAAACACACACGAGAGAGACAGAGACAGAGACAGCGACAGAGAGAGATGCAGGAGACCCACTTGTACACCTGCTGACCCTCTCAGAGCATTGCCCCCTGCATTGCAACGTCTTGACATATTTGGGTTAGATCTGTGCCTCTGCCTCTGCCATGCACTGCCTCATGGCCCTGTCTCCTGTCTCACGCTCATTAGAAATTCCAACTAAATTCTCTGGTCGTATATCCCTGTGCTTTTGAATCTGCTAATGAACATAACTCAGCAGCAGCAGCAGCAGCAGCAGTAGCAGCACGACAGCACACAGACAGCATCTGGGGCTCTGCTCTGCTGACTGGTTGTAGAAGTTTTTGGGTTTGTTTGCTCAAGTTTTAAATTAATGACAGCATATTTACTTGCGGTCCAAGGAGAGAGAGAGAGCTCCAAAAACCCAGAAAACATCCATGAGAAACAGCTGCAAAGTTGACCAACTTGGAAATCTTGGAAATAGATTAACAAAAATTAATGTTGATGCCTCGGTTTTGCCACTGCTCTGCTGTGCTCTACTCTGCTCTGCTTCAGGAGTGGAAATTAAATAAGATGTCCTGTCACTGTCACGAAGCTTCCTTCTTCTTCATCTTCTTCTGCTTCTGCTCTGCTGCTGCTGATGAATCTTCGTTTCGTTTGCCTTTTTCTGGAATTTGATTTAATTTTGTGGCAGCCAGAGCTCGCTCTATCTCAGAAGCTCTGGTTCTGTGGCAGCATCATTTGTGTTTGCATTGTTCTCGTGGTCTTGTGTTTAGAAAACAACAAATTCCGTGCTGGCAAAAGATAAATAGCCTCAAGAAGTCCAGCAAAAAACCTTTTTAAGCAGTGAGTGAGGCTTTGCCAATTTAATTTTCTATAAATTATTCAAGAAACTCAAACTCTTCGATGATGATTGCAATTTGGCACGAGTTGACCGCATCTTTCGCTAACAAAACTCAGCCATAAATTAATTAAAAGACAACAAACACACACACTCATGAGGTGCTGGGAAGAGGCAGGCAGAGTGAAAACTCTGGCAGGAAAAACCACACTCAATGATTTTCAATTAATGTGGGAAACCTAATCAAAACCAACAGCAACAAGGAGGGCCCTGCAAAACCTGACCACAAGGATGTGGCAGATAGAAAGGGTGCGGGCAATAAAAGTGGAAAAGAGTTAAAGGGAAAGCAGCGCGGGAATCCAGTGAAAACAAATCCGTAAAGCTTAGAAAAATTCCCAACTATGCTTGGTTTTTTTTTGTGTTTTTGTTTTAAACAAACTATCGACTAAATGGAAAACCCAAGCAGAAAAACGAGAGCAGAGAAAAGAGCGTATGCCGCCGCATTCAAAAGTGAAAAGCTTCGGAAGAAACAAAAAGCAAACAAGGATAACAAATGAACACGGGGCACAGAGCACAGAGGAAACGAGCAGTGCGGACACTCAGAAAAGGACTCCTCCTCCTAATCCACTCAATGGGTGGGGTGGCGATGGGGGTGTGGGGTGTGCCCATGGCACAAACACTAAACAAATAGACATGATAAATTAAAAAAGCAAAAAGCAAAGCAAGAAAAAAGCAAAGCATGGCAAAAGAAATGAAAAGCAAATAACGCGACGCATTGCACGCAAAGCTCAAGAAAAAGATTACGGGGAACACCTCCTCCGACTCCCCATCCTCCTGCTGCTCGTAAACCCCATGGCCCAGCAGACCCCAGAGCCCTCAGTGCCAGCCTTCTGTGGGTGTGCCAGCCACGCTGGTCGATGTGTGTTAAGTGGCATGCCCCAAAGGCGTCAAGAAGCACGCAGGATAAATAACAAAGCGACACTGATAGAAGAAGCAGTAGATGAAGGAACAGAGTGGGAGGGAGGGAGCGAGAGAAAAAAGACACGCGCGAGTACAGGAAAAGGTTGGCAATGGGCGGAAGGTCTCTCGGATGGGCGGCGCAGCAAAAGAGACGGCGAAGGGGGTGGTAGGAGGCGTGTTTGGTTAAGCGTTTGAAATGCGAGCGATTTGCAATTTGCATAGCCAGGGAGCAACTCTACCTGTTCAGCCTCTCATTCTCAATCTCAAGGGTTGACAGGGTTGTCAAGGCGCTGAACGGAGAGGGCGGGCTTGGCTTGGTTATGATTTCTTGGATAAACAGTTTGCCGATTGATTGCTGCTGTTCCCAGCTATATTGTGATATTGCTAGACTTCGATTTTATTTTATCGATAACACTTTCGATAACTTCCCACCGATAATATGTGGGATAACTGATGATACTCCGATACCTGGAATAGTTACAGCAACTCCTTCCACTTCTATAAAACTCATTATGGCCACACAGCCTCAAAGCACAACAAATAACATGCAGCTGGCATTTGCCACATTTACAAGCCAGCTGACAACCCTATTTGCGTAGCGATATATCAACACAACACCTTCTGGCCAATGGACATGGCCAACATGGCTAATACTGCGAAGGCAACCAGAGACACCTCCTACACCAACAACAACACACAAAGAGAAAGAGATAGAGAGTGGGAGTGGGAGAAACACCTGGCAAATACGCAGCCAAGTGAGAAATGAAGACGAGTTAGTTAAGATGGGTGGGAAGTTGTGGCAGCAGCAGCAGGCAGGGCGAGGCAGCGAGCTGCCTGTACCCACTGAATGCAAAGAGATAAGTCCCGCTACTCTGCTGCTGCTCTGGCAACCTGCAGTCACCTCAAGCCATCTGGCAAGGCTCCTAGCTCCTGTCGCTGAGCGAGTGGACCCCAACTGCAGGACGACAGCATAAATCAGGACACACAGCCAGAGACAGAGAGAAAGAGTAGGGGCGGAGGGGCGTAGGAGGGTGCATAGGAAGTCGGAAACGATAAAAGACAAAAACCGGTACGAGGAAACAAGCACGAACCAAACGGCCACACTAATTGAAAAGCAA